TTGTCATGTACCTTATATGACAATCATTACGCTGTGACATAACAGCTATTTAAGTTATTGTTATATTGGTCAAGGAAGCCCAGTTTTACACTAGTGTTCAAAGTACACGGCCATACTGATGATACAAATATTGCCAATTCACATGAATATCATGGCAATATTCAGCAACTTATAAACTACCATAATGGTTCGTATTGCTTATATAATTCATGCAACAGTTCAAACATGACATACAGAGAAGTTATTAATATTGCTCATTTTACCCTGATAAACTGTGCTAGATATAAAAAAATAATAACATCTTTATAACTTAACTTTGTGATTTAGATATCGCGTCGTGAGAGCACAATATCAAGCATTGACTGAACACTCGAGATATATGAGATACCAACCTAGGCCTCAAACTCGAAATATTGGCGGATTTAAATCAAACAAATGCGTTTTATATTATTTGGTGAATTATAATTATGTAGTATAGTTTGGAATCATCCACGTGATTCATTCAAACGGAATGTTACGATAAAATCGCAATTTATGTTACAGAGCTGAGGAACAAAACTATGTATACTTACATATCACTGCATACACAAGCCAACACATTCCGAGTAAAGATACAAGGACTAACATTATAAATCGTATCCTTCCCGTGCAAGTTCGACCCATACTGTTTTATAAAACGTGTATGGAAAACGTGCAGGTATAATATTAAACAAAACTTCTCTGAGAGTCACCCTGTGTGTGTCCACTTCTTTATGCTAATAAACTTAAACAGTGATTCGATCTGCTACAGTTAAGTACGCATGTAACGTTAAAGGTTCATGTCTAGTTTTAATACAAAGCCGCCACAGTGACGCGATCGACCCTGTAGAACATAATGTACAATGAGGCAGGCACTATGACAAGCGATATCTATACAGTTAACGAAGGGTCCATGTGTAAGATTAAAACAAACAACTAATACTATAAACTAATGAATACAGAATACCCAGTAGTAATCACATGTATATTCATGATAACACTTAGCAGTACAGTGTAGGAAAAATCAGGTAAAGCAACCATTGAAAGTGGAATAGAAAATACATATTTATTAATAATACTTTCTCCCATCCTTCAAAGGCGTGTCTCCCGTTTTAACCGGGAAAGATCAGCTTGTCACCCCCTAGGGGGAGATAGCCTCGTGCCGATTAGCACGTGTTCAATTGTGACGTCATCAAAATGCGTCATCGGTAAGTGTGACGTCATCAAAAGTGAATGACGATATGCATACCCCACATTTGTTTTTGTTTTCAAACATGGCAGACTACTGTCGGTGGAGCTGTGACTGAAATAATAAGATGGGAGAAAAATAATCATCCCCTTCCTTTAGGGTGTAACAGAGAAATCTCCAACCCTCGGGGTGATTTCTTTTGGTTGTCTATCCCTCGGCATATGTGTGCAATTGGAGCTACATATGTGACAGTAACAATACAATACCTGTATATATACCGTTGTTTGGGTGATAGCAATTACACTTGTTTACTTACCTTTTATGATATTACAGTAGATAATTATTAAATAAGTTCTTTTGTTAGAGTGATAAATATCACACATGTACATCTTCGATGATGTAACAGATTTTTATTAAAAAGCGTATCATTAATCGTGCTACATGTAGGATTATTAACAAGTTTAATATAATCGAGAAAAGATCGTTGAAAAGAAATAAAGAATAACTTCGATTTTACAGAAGAAGACTGTTTAAAGTATTGTGTATTTCGTTGAGTGTAGTGTATAATCCGAGCTTTTCTTGTAATCATGCTCAAAATAAGTCACAGAGCCTTTTGTAAAAGTTTATTCGAAGGAAGACAGTCTCAAAAATATTTTTCCAGCGATCATATATGAGGCTCTATTCATCGAAGGACTGACAAAGATAGGTAACAGAATTTTGTCATGTTTTTCAATTTCACTTACAACTCATCAAGGATGTGCTGTCTTTTAAAAACAGTTATTGACATTGTCGATCCTCAATTTGAAATAACGTTGTCAGAATACTATTTAGTTGTATTAAAAACATTAGGGTTTCGATTTTTTTATCGTGATTTGTCCTTTCCTGATAGACACACCCACGCGTCTCGCATAAAACGTTGATTCGACATTCGCAGGCTGGCTTTGGATATTACAATTTCCGTAATACATGTAGATATCAAACACACGATTTACCAACTTACAAACACAAGGTTTCGCTAGAAGTGGGTTAAATACTTTATTTTGATAACTATCTTACAGAGAGGAAGCGTATTATAGACTATGAAAATCGACCAGGTGCGTTCAACAGGAGCGATTTTCAACCTCAAACCAGTGTCGGACACTTCAAAAAAAAGTTGGTCAGATGCAATGTGACAGCTTCGCATTGTGGGAACTAGACTTAATTAAAGCAGTAACAATGAGTGTTGGCTTCCTGGTGTACTGAAATAAAATCTTTATGTTTCTAGCAGCAGGGTGTTTGTTCTCCTACATATATCCTGTTCATTTAAAATACAGATTATGTTTGACCTTTAAATTCTTCAACCCACTCTTTTTAATGTTGGATGTAAGTTATGTATCACATTGTACATTTGAATTGCGCACATATACATCATTACGGATTATGTTTGAAATTTAACTGTTTACCTTAACGTATTTATTGTTGAAACTTGTTGGACCGTGATCTCAGGATCGTATGTTGAAGGACACGCACGCGAGGACGAACAATAGAGCAGTCGAAGTCAATGACATGCATATCATAGCGAAGACGTAATGGGGTATCAACTTGACCATTTTTGCAACTTATAACGGATTGCGATGTGCGTTATTCCCGCACAGTGCCGTCGTCTCTAACTCAACCCATCCTTCAGTAAACTAAATCTCCAATCAGAACTAATTACCTTCAATATGCTATGTCATCAATTGTACACTTGGCTTATACAATTGCATAAATATGAACATATTCAGTTACGGAATTTATTTATGGTTTAAGTACTATTTGATAGCTCAAGGAGTTTCATTATAAATTTAATTATTGAATTTATATAATATTTTATTTAAATGATTGAACTATGTACGTGTAAAGGCATTGTTGTATTGGTTATACTTTATAATATGTTTTTAGATATTTAATTGCAAATAAAGCTATTTTCTTATTGATTAATATATTTTTATACAACTTGACTGTATTATAATTAACAGTATTGTGTAATATTCAAACATGTTATATTATATCTTAAGGTATTAGATATATTCAATTCGTGGTAGTGTACTATATGTTATGATATTGTTTTAT